GGTGACGCCAACAAAGTATCGACAATACTTGGAATGATGGTGCTGAGACAGAGTACCTTCATAACTTGACCGTTACAAGTGATGCATTTGCAACTTAGTTGCTACGATTTTCTTTTTTCTTCAGCAGCTTCAGATGGTGGAGGAATTGACAATATTAGGAATGGCGGCGTTGAAGCAAAGTGCTTCAGCAACTTGACTGTTGCAAGTGTTGCCTCTACAACTTCATTTAGACACTTTTCTTCGTGGAGTCTGTTCAGATCTTTGGCGGGTCGGACCTGCTTCGGCCCACTGTTGACCCACTTCTCTTGGGCTTTAGCCCATGCTCTCTTTTCATTCATAGTCGTCTTAGAAGGGCGACCTTAGCACTTAAGCTCATACTTAATTTGGGGTTTAATTTCTGACCCTTTACAACTAGTAATAATAATCCAACACTACAAACTTATTAACATCAAAGCGTGTAGTCAATATATATATATATTTGAAAGTACAATACACTTTCTTGTCTCCTTGTCTTCTTCTCTCTCTGGCTCTTACCTTCCAAAGTTTTCTTCTCTTTCTTTATTCTCTTTCATGGCTATCACCAGGTTTCTACCCAACAGGGTTGTCCCATCCAGTACTGAATGGAGAAGGGCCCCATATTTTGGGGGACTTGCTGACCCCTTTTGGAAGGCAGTTGATTCTTTTGTCCCTGATGCCCCTTCTCTGGAAGAGCCTCTGTTCCCTTTTGGTGATGCCTCTTTGGATGATGCTAACATGGTGAACCCAGCCTTCGTGCTGCGATTTCGTGTATTGCGCGGTGATTGTCCCCATTCATACATTTATTACCACACTCACTCGGGCCCTCCAACAGACTGGTCCCTCTAGGTTGATGACATTATTGCAGACGACGGCTTCAAGCAGCGCTTGAGAGATGTTCGTCTCTTCAAAGTAATTTTGAGCTCGAGGGAGTTGTCTGTGTGCAAGATACAGACTAATTCTGATATGACTGTTTCCCCCTGGAGCCGCGACACTCACACCTTCGTGGTGACTTGGGGGGTGATAGCCTTAACCCTTGAAGACGTCGCTGTTCTCCTTCGGTTGAGCACACGTGGGGACTCCTCTTTTAATCCCGCGTCCCTGACTGTTGCGGAACACATTACTGTCACTGCTCTTTAAGGTGCCTTTCGAGAGGCACAAAAGCATGGCTTTTGGCATGATCTGAGGACTGGGGAATTGCTTCAAGAGAGGCCCAAGAGGGACAAGACCACCTACATCTCTTGGTTTAAGCATTTTTTCAAGGATATGCAACCTGTTATGATCGACATTGCCGAAGACAGTCGTGAGTCAATAGTTGGGTCAGGCTACCGCAGCAACTTGTGCCTAGCTGCGTTTGTTAGCTATTTTATCTCTTTTTTTGTCCTCCGCAGCAACCCTACTGAGAGCATCAATCCTCTGGTGTTTCCCTTACCATCAATCTTTGCAGCAATAGTCAGATCCCCTTGGCTCCTCATTTCTTGGGGAATCTATACTTTCATCTGTACCTCATTCATTCGGACTTGAAGAGATCCATGGGCCACTATGACGTATGGAGCTTCGTTCATACTCAGTTCTTGACTGCCTTTTTTTACGAGCAGTGCTCTGCTATGGGCCCAGTCCCTAAAAAGCATGAGCCCTTTTTTACCGACAAAGTCCTTGATGCAGAGGGTCATCCTGTCATAGATGCAGAGGAATGGCCCGTCAGGAGACAAGTACGCAATTCCCTCCCACGCATCTCCAGGTGGTCTAGTGTTGGCAACAACAGACCCTTTGCGGACTACATTAGGCGCATGAAGAAGTGCGTGTTCTGCCCCTTTACCCAGCTTCTTCCAGTCATTTCTGTTGTTCCATTTTATTTCTCTGAGGCCCGTCATGTTGATTTCTCTCTTGATAGTGTCCAGGACAACTCTCTCCTTATTGCTGCTATGTTATGCCTTGGATTTCTACCTGTATGGAATGAGGAGGGCATGTCCAGCGTCGTCTATCAGCCGGGCAGGGTCCTTAGGCAGTTTGGCATGGATCAGGGTATCCCACATGCTCCTCTGCCTCAGGCAGATTTCTATCAGAGCTTCCAGCGGTTTGCTCGTGATTATACCGCTTTACTTATGGAGGATTTAGGCCTCATGGAGCTGCCCTCGCTCGGAAGAGAAGACATATTTACTCCTAGTAATAGATTATTCTGGCATTGCAACCTCAACTCCTTCAATTTTTGCAACAGTGCTCCAGTTGTTCCTACAATGGAACACATTTCACAACCAGATCTATCCCTTCGTCTCTCCTCTGGTCGGGGGAAGTAAACGAGTGTGTTTTGCCGTTTCAAGCTTTTCTCCTCGCCTACAGTAGAGGAGCCTCATCCGTCTAAGGCAATGTCCATCCAGCCACTGCAAGTTGTTCCTCCAGAAATTAGTACATCAGTGCACATAACTCTCTCTCGCGTGAGGGAAGTCCATGAGGCAGCAGCATCAGTCGCAGAGGCCCGTGCCTCACCAAGTTGGAAGAGACTCCAGAGGTATCCAGACTTAGAAAATATTTTGTATTTTTTCATACTTCTATGGGCTTTTTATCTGTACTTTAGTAATCACATGATCTTTTTCCTTTTCAGGGCCCATCAGCCATGTCACCTTCGGGTCCCAGAGGTTCTTCTACTGCCATCGAAATTTCTTCAGATTCAAACGACGACGACCACCTTCCCATTGTTTCAAGGGTCATAAGATTCAGAACTCACAGAATGGTACTTCTAGACGTTGAAGAAGAACTAAGTGCTAAGGCCAAACCAACTACTGAGGCCAAGCTAGTTGTTGAGGCTGAGTCAGATACTGAGATTGCAGATGTAGAAAGAGGTCATGATGCCCCTTTTGTTGAAAATGAACAAGTCCTCCCTACTGTGGAAGTTGCAGCAGTGATATAGTTACTGAGGGTGCAGAACCTCCAAACCCTGTTCATTCTGACCGTTCCTCTGTTGGTGGAGATGATTTTCTTCCCTAGAATCCGAGAGAGGATCATGGCAAAAGAGAGCCACTGGAAGTTGCACCACCCCTATTGGGAGCTATATCTGGGGGTTCTTTCCAGTCCACTGAGTCTCCCCTAGTTCCACAGACCTCACTTCCAAATGTTCAAGTTGCTGAAGGAGGTGCAAATGTAGCGGCTGTTCCTATTGTGGACCCTCAAAACTTGGCCCACTGTGCAAAGGAGCTGCCAACCTAGCCACTCATGGTACTACTACATTTGCTGATGCTTTCGACCCAGTTGCCTCAGCAACTTCTGAGCAGCTTGCTGACCTGTAACCCCCACTCACTTTCCCGAGGTGCCAGCCAATCTTAGGAGATCACGAGACTTTTATGTGGGCATGGACACCATTGTTGTCCCAGATCTGAATGTTGTGGACTACCCCGTGGACGACCTCTTTTCGAAGCGACATAATGGTGTAGGTAGCTTTGGACTCTCTCTCGCGTGGTTAGTTTGCCCGGTCGCCACCGAGCATCTACCCATTCTAATGCTGCTAGGCCGTCATCTTCAGGGGAGATGCATCGCGCCCAGGCCTTTGGTCGATCCACCTGTCTCCCTCTAGTAATTGAAGCTAGCCATGGAGTGAGAGGGTCCCCTCAGTCCTCAGGACAAGTTTCTTTCCCAAGTTATTGGGCCTCCCCCGAAGCTGCTCCTACTCTTGCCAGCATCCAAGCATTGCACCTTGGCACCTTCACTACTTTCAACATTTTGGGCTCAATGGTGCAGACAGAACTATTAGTCACTTGCCAGCTTCATCCATGAACTTGCTGCAAAGAATATTTTGACGACTCCTAGCAAATTTGTGGAGAGTGCTTAGGCTAATTTGAGCGGCTTTGAGAGGAATGGTCTGGACCTATCGTGGATGAGGGCTAGGTTTTAGGCAGTCGATGGCTTCCTTGAACATGCAGATAATGTCACGATGCATGCATCTTTGGAGGAGACTATTAAGGAGTGTGAGGGTGCCATCGAGCAGCATCGGCAGAACATGGCTCGGTTCAAAGAGAAAGACTTTGCACTGGCTGCTCAGCTGCCTAGGGATGTGACCCTGATGGACTCCCTCATGAAGGGTTTGATTTGATTTATTATGACTCTGTTATGGCTCCTTTTCTTTGTACTTTTGCTGTCTTTTTTCCTTCTTCTTTTTTCTTTCAAACATTGTAATCATGCTGTGGAAAACTTTGATGTTTATGAGGAACAAAGATACTGAGTCGTTGAATTTTAATTCACTGTTTTCTTTTCATTGTCTTTGCATAGCTTCTAAGGATGGGCAATACTCTTGCTATGACCAGAATTTCACCATGACTAAGTTTTTACAAGGCTAAAATTTCACTAAGTATAGAAAACTTTCCTTGCACTAAGTGTTTACAAGGGTAACGGGTTTACTAAATGTATGACACATTCTTTACATTTTGCTTTCGAAGTATTAACAAAGAAACTTACAACTCTTTTTCTGAACAAAAGAAATTACGGAAAATACTCCTTTACACAGCGTTGATAGGGCCAGTTTTGAACCCATCATCTACTCTTGTCAACTTGTAATACCCGCTGCTACATACCTAAACAACTTTGTAGGGGCCTTCCCATCTGGGTGAGAACTTAGGGATTGGTTCCCCCACATGATTGCGTCCACTGTCTTCCATACCAAGTTCCCCTCCATGAACTCCCTGCGTTGAACAGACTGAATGTAGGCGCGAGCTATGGACTAATGACACTTTTCCATTGCCCGCGAGGCCCGATCCCTTTTTTCTTCGGCTGTCTCTATGTTGTTCTTTTTGCTGTCTGGAACTAAGCGTGCTAACATAGCCATTCTTGCTGAGTGTACTGTCAACTCAACTAGTAACACAGCTTCAGACCAATATACTAGGGGAAATGGGGTTGCCTGAGTTGGCTTCCTTTTTGACGTTCTATATGCCGAGAGTGCTACGGGGAGTTGTTCGGACCATGAGCCCCCCTGCATCATACATCATTTTATTCATTAATCAGATGAGGGTTTTGTTGGTTGCCTCAACTTGTCCATTCCCTTGCGGGTAGTACGGGGTAGACTTGTGGTGCTTGATCTGATAAGTGTCCAAGAATCTTCCCACATGGCGATTCACAAAGGGAGTTCCATTGTTAGGCAAAATTACTTTGGGTATGCCAAACCTGCAGATTATGTTTTCCTTGATAAAGTTGGCCACTCCTGCCCTATCTACTTTTCTTATTGGTATAGCCTCTACCCACTTGGTGTTAACTTCTGTCGCTGCAAGTATCCATCTGTGACCTTTGGATTGCTGCGCTATTGGACCTACCAAGTCAAATGTCCAAGTGTGAAATGGGTAAGGAGTCTTGATGTTGTACAGCTCAACTGCTGGTGTTTGTATCAAGTTCCCAAATTTCTGGTAGGATTGGCATCTTCTTACAAAGGTTTTGGCATCTTCTTCCATTATAGGCCAATAGTAGCCGAGGTGAATGAGATGTCCATATAACCATTGGCCTCCTTGATGCTTTGTCTTGTGAGCTTCGCTTAGCACTTCATTTCCCTCCTCTTTTGATAAACATACTAGAGGTTTCCCTTCAAAGCCTCTGCGGTACAGCTTGCCTTAGTCAAGGAAGAAGCGATGGGCCAGCCTCTTAACTCTGATTGCATCGGTTTTGTTCTCAAGCAGTATGCCATTTCCAAGGTAGTCAATATATGGTTGTCTCTATTCTTCACTGCTTAAGAGATGGGTTTCCTCTTCCTCAGGATGTGACTGACTTTTTGCACATTGCCTCTGCAACTCAGTACTTTCTTTTTCTATCTTTGGCCAGTAATACCCTTGCCTCTACATCCATCAGTATAGACTGATATCCCCATCTCCGCAGGACTTGGCATGGATCTGCTTGAGTTTGTAAGTTGCTTTTTGTCTACCGACGCACCTTGCTAGCAGGTTGTTGGGACCACGAAAATATAACTCTCCTTTAAGGAGCAGATCAGGAATGATGCAAGTTCTGCTGGTCTAATTGTTTTTTTCTCAATGACGATGGCTATAATATCATCTGGTATATCCACATTTGCCTCGTTGACGGCACAACACTTATAAGCTAAACCAGACCAGATGGTGCCGATTTAACAACTTTCCGTCCGGCCTTGACATGCACTAATAGTATTTTTCAACTTTCTTCATTAGCACCCAGACTGTCTTGGGAGGTCGTCTGGTCAACGAACTACGAAGAAGACTATCAGGGTGTAATCCCATCTTATGCGGTAATGGCCATGGAATCATAGCATGCATTTTCCACCAAGTTGAAACATTCCCAATAGCGTCGAATACTCACTAAGGGTCTCTTCTGGTTTAATTTGCATTACCCAGAGAGAGTCAGCTTGCTTTGGCTGAACTTCGTTGGTGATGAATCTTGCCCTGAAGGATTTTTGGAGTTGATGAAAGCTTCTTATTGACGCCAGCTCCAATTTATACGGTCCCAGGCTACTTGGAAACATTCGACACATGAGAGCTTCATCATCAGCATGCAACGTCATCACTTGTTTGTAATGACGAATGTGGTCAGTGGGATCAGATTTTCTGTCGTATAAGGTGAATGTTGGTGCTTTGAACTTTTTAGGCAACAGGGTTGTTCCTATCGTCCTCATCCGAATCATCACTTGCTTTCCCTCGCTTGTGTCATACATATGGACTTCCTTCGGACAAGTTGGATGCATCAACTAGCCCCTTCTTTCTAGGTTCCTGAGATGGTGAGTCAGAATTGCTGCCATTATCATGTTTTCGAAGTCGACGTCATCGATCATCGTTCTTCTTTTTTGGGGATTGACCCCAGTCATGGCATGCGTCGTGTTGGGATTTGGCTCACTCTAGGGCCGATCCCTTACGTAAACTCTCGTTCTCAGCCATCATATCTTCTAGATGCTGTTCGTTTCATTTTGCTTGATCCATGATCGTCTACACAGTTTTCTGCCCAGAAGTTGAGGGTGAAGTTTGAGCTACTGAGTCGAAGTTAAAGCCCGTCACGTGGTGATATTCTCCGGTCCAAGCATGTTTCTTGCAATAATGTCATTTCTTGGTGTAACATCGTCAGCAACTATTGAAGAATCATCTGTCACACCTGCCATGGATGCACTTGAGTATTCCCACAGATAGCACCAATTGTGGTAAGTGGTTTGGAAATACACTTGGATCCAGTTAGACGCTCTTGATCCTCTGATTGCTACCTGAAAAATGAATGAACACTTCGGTCGGGGTTGCCAGAATTAGCACTCTGACAGACAAGTCGATATCCTCTCAAATTTAATTCTATCTCAAGTAATCTTGTAAATTTTCACATACCTCCTTTGGCAGACATTCCTCCCCTTTTATATTACAAGTGGGCCCAAGGGTCGGGCCCACTCTTGATCTCACACGTAGTAACTTAGCCGGCCATCCAAGTAAGTGTTGCCTCCTATTCGGCTCATTATATGGCCGATTCGTTTATTCAACTTCGTGAGCCCCTAGTCAAGGCCGAATTACCTTTGGCCTGATGTCGATCAAATGCCATGGCCTCTTCTTAGTTGATTTTATTCGGCCTCCACAAAACTGAAGGGCAACACCGTATAGAAAAAATCTCCCAAGGGCGTTTTGAAAGCTGTCTTTTCTGCATCTTCTGGTGTCATTTTGATATGGTTATAACCACTAAACGCATCCATGAAGGAGAACATCTAATGGCCCGCAGTAGAATTGACAAGTGTGTCAGCATGGGGCAATGGAAACAAATCTTTTAGGCATGCCTTGTTCAGGTCGCGAAAGTCTATGCAGACCTTGATTTGGCTATTCTTCTTCTTCACAGGCACAATATTTGCTGGCAAAGTTGGGTACTGTACACGATCAATGAACTTGGCCCTCTGTAACTTTTCTACCTTTTCCTTAATCTTTGCCTCAAGATTAGGGTGATACATTCAAGCATGCTGCTTGATTGGCTTAGAGTTGGGAAAAGTGCCCAGATGATGAGTGACAAGGGATGGGTCAATACCAGGCATCTCATCATATGTCCAAGCAAAGACGTCACTGTACCACTTTAGTAGTTTTGTCATTTTTGCCTTAGCTGCTGGAGCCATTGTATCGCTGATAAACACGGGCTTGCTTTGCCCTGGTAAGTCACTGAGGTTAACCTTAACAAGTACTTCCTACTGCGATTTGGGTCTATCTTGCATACATTCAGGGGTGAGCTCAGGCATCTCCACCAACCCATCTTGGGACTTACTGCCATCACGTTTATTTGCCTCGAGGCCATCCTCCCAAGGTATGAAGTCTGGGCCCTAAGACCATCGTAGGTAGTAAATTGTCATGCCGCCCTCGCGCACCATAACAATCTTGGGTGGAGGACTCGTGGACTTACTGCTCCTCTTTTGCCCACTGTTTTCAAGAGCAGCCTCTGTATCTCGAATGTCTTCCCATTTGGCAATTTTACATCTACAACCTTACTAGTCCTTGGAGTTTCATCCGTTGACAACACGGTAAAGAAGACTGCATCAGAATAGTGTGCCTCTTCTACTCCAAATAGTTTTTCAGATGCATTTATGGTCACTATGCGCTTTCCAAACTTTGCCTTTACGCATTAGTGATAACTCGATGGGATAGCCCCATATCAGTGCATCCAAATCCTGCAAAGTATCATGTGGTAATTTGTGTCCACTTCAATCACATGGAACTTAGTGGTAGAGCGGATCTCGCCAACTGCTAAGTCCACTACAACATAGCCAATAGTAACCCTTTTCTCACCACCAAAACCCGTCACCATAATGTGTTTGCAAACCATCTTGGATTGTAGGATGCCAACCTTCGCAAAGGTGTCGGTAGTGATGATGTTTATGGATGCTCTGTCATCAAAGAAAACACGCTTTAACTCCACGTCATTGACGTAAGTGTTAACAAAAAGAGGACGGTTATGAGGAAATGGGTATGCTTTGTCTGCTTCTGAAAAAGTAATGGCCCCATAATCTTCCTGGATGCGCCGAGGCATATACTCCTTAGCCTCAGCAACTTCAGTATGGTGCACTTTAGAGATGTTGATGAGGGCCTTTGTTGCTTCCGACATGGCAGCTTGACTCAGCCCCCGTTGGTCAAAGAAGGTACGAAACTTGACAAAATTTTGCAAGGCTTGAGCATGAGTATCCTCTGCGAGTTTTGCCTCTAAAGGTATTGTTTCGGGGAGCTGGCCAGTTGTAATTTCTTCTAACTTACCCGAGTAGGATGCCATGTTCACTTGATCGCACACAGGCCCAAGAGAGCCAATCAAATGTACATTCTTCCTGTTCTCCTTAAGATTAGGATAAGGGTCCTTCCTCATATCACAGTTACTGGCATCTTTGAACTTCAACTCATTCGCGTCAACTTTCATCTTGAAGATACTTTTCAAAGTCCAACAATCCCTAGTAGGGTGTCTGGTGGCTCTGTGATAGATACAATAATCTAGGCTTTCTTTGTCTTTTTTGGTTGGAGGGACATTAACCGGAGGCAAAGTAAGTTCACCATCGGCTACCCATTTTTTAACGAAGGCCTTAACATTCTCAAGGCTGCAAGGATATGGATTTTTGTCCTCATAACTATTCCTCTTTCGAGAGGATGACACCTCCCCTTGTGAGCGGCTCCCTCTTGCAGAGGTTACCGCAATAACTCTGCTACTACGGGAGTAGCGGTGACTGTCGCGAGATCTATGCAGAGTGCCAGTGGTACTGAGGTTCCTAGCAGCCTCAACCAAGGCTTTAAAGGTTGTCATATTATGGTTCACCAAGAAAATTTTATAGTCGCGCATGGCAGCCTCCATACATATGCTGAGTAAGTGGGCCACATCCCCTGGCTCATGATAGTCACTAGCCTTATCTTGGAATTGCTTGACATAGTCTACTATATCCTCACCTTCCTTTTGGACATCTCGGCTGATCATGAGGGTTGTAACTTTCTCTTGAACTTGGGTATTGTATACCCAGCTGGGTATGGCATAACCAATATCTCCTGGGAGTATGCGGGCTTCACATCTGGGTAGGGGAGAGATGGTAATTGCTTCTTGTTGCACTTTGGCTCGAGCATAGCTTGTACATCGGCTTGGGTAACAAAGTGAGTGGGCAGGAATGGTCTAGTCTGCTCCTGGGTAGCTAAACCAGCAGTCGTATCGCTTGCTTGGGGTACCACTAGAGGCACTTGGATCGGAGCTTGATTCCTAGGGAGCAGGTTACGCACTAGGTTTGGGACTGTTACCGGCGGAGGTGCCTGTGCTGGAGCTGGTCTTGACGCCATCAACGAGAGTTTGCAAAGTTGCTAGGATCTCTCCCTGCATATCCTGGGGTGACTGGACTGCCTCAACCACAACACTGTGGTCATGGTCCTTCACATGTGCTTCTTCGCCATTGGAAGAACCTTGCTGTCGTGGGAGTTGCTGAACTTCATCCTTTGTCATTTTTTCCAGTGAAGTGTGTAAA